TGATGTTATCGTTGGGCGAGTTATACGTTCCCGTGAGTCGGAGGACAATGGAGAACAGGCGCTGATCCCATCGGAAGGGCTCTTTGGTCAGCTCAGAGCCGGGAACCGCCGAATGCATCGGCAAATTGAGTTCCTCGCAAATGCCGGACACATTGGTCAGACGCCCGCCGTCTGTGATCACTATAATAACGCTGGGCTCCAGAAAGAAGGGACACCTCCCCTGACCGTACGTATCGATTCCGGTCTGCATTCGGTTAATGTTCAACAGATCGAACGCGTTCTTCAGCGCCGGACCCATTGTCGTCATTCCAGTGGCCGTCAGGTTCTTCAGCTCATTCATGAACACCACGTGACTCTCCTTCCAGCCGGCCTTCGGGTACAAAATACACGTGTCGTTAGTTTAATGGTCACCGAATTGGTCGCCGAAGATATTATCACTTACTTTGACATTGTTTGGCGAGTCCTCAAACGTCAATAGCATGTATCGGTCGCCACGGCTGGCGATATCTCTTTGCCGGAACTGTTTCGGTGACAAAAATATAGAGAAAACAATTAATAAAATATAAAAGCATTTGAAAAAACTTTTAGGACTTTTGGGACAAAAGATAAATAGTTTTGAAAAACTTTTTTTCGCCAAAAATTAATATTAATTGACGTTTGAATTGATGTCAAAACGAGACCGACATCTGGCGGTCAGTGGCCTAACCCGAGGGGTATTAAAGCGATGCCAAACACATAAACAACGTTACGCACAGCGAAACCCCAAACGCTATAAACACGATAGCGTTGGCGAGGGTTAGCCCATAGCGAGCAATAGGCTTGAGAGAGGCGCTAACGCGTGTCCCCCATAGGCTACGGGCGTAACGTTGTTTGCGAGTGGTTTGGCATAATGTTGACGCATCTCGTAAATGGCGACTCAATGGGTATTGTTGTGAGGGCTGAGGTGTGGGGAGGGGTGGGGAGGGGTTGACGGGCGGGGGTTTGGGCTATACTTTGAGGAACTTCTCGACGGCGTCTTTGGCCACATCGAGGAGCGAAGGTCTGGCGCCGAAGTGTGTCCTCGCGTTCATTGAGCCCGAAGTGTCGATCAGAAACACTATAATAGTCATGACTGCACTCAACCAACACTACACACAAACTGAGGCACAATTCAACACAACCTAACGCTCGACACAACTCTCACTCCAAACTACACATACACTGCACACACACTCTGTCCGCGCATTACCCGCGCCTCTCACTCCCTCTCTCATGCAAACACATCACTCTCCACAACACTCTCTCCCCTGTTGTGCACATTAGCGCAACTAAACCATACTTTCTTTCTATCTTTCTTTCTTTCTTTCTATCTCTCACAGTCTCTCTCCCTTTTATTATGCCCTTCAATCTGATCTCTCTCTCTCTCTCTCTCTCTCTCTCTCTCTCTTTCTCTCACACACATTGTGTGTC